TACAATTATTTCTGTAAATATACTTGCAGTTTTATTGTTTTACATATTCACTGTTCATCGTCGCTTCTTGTTTGCTTTCGTGCTTTTTCTTCTTCTTGCTTCATCATATACAATATGCTTGTTGTGTGTGTCTGTTTTTCTGTTTTATGGTTTTTTATAAATAATTGATTTAGGCGCTATTATTCATATTATTTGTTGTTGCTCCTCTCATCAGCTTTACTTATTTCTTTAACATTAAAATATATATTTAAAAAAAAAAATGAAACTTTTCATTCACTTGCTTTTTTCTTCACTTCATCCTTTCCTTTTTTTTTTGTGTTAATGAAAGAAAAGGCAACTTAAAATTATTATGGATCATAGAAAATTACACATATCCTGCTTTTGCACAATACAATAATTGTAAAAAATATATTTAAATCGAATATATTCTATATAGAGTGTGTGTGTTTCAACAAAGTTGCATGCAAAAAACAACAACAATTGAAGTTGCACTTTCGAGTTGTTGGCATTATTGTTGTTGTTACTATTACTGACCACTTCTTAGCAAACGTACTCGTATAATTAAAACCAAAGAAAAATATACACTTTAAAAATAAGAATACATAGAAACTAAATTGTTGCGCAAATCATATTTGGCCACAAAATATCAATTTGTGCAATTTCCTCAATGCTCGCTCAATTGTTTGTGCAAACACAAATACAAACACAAATGCAATTCTTTTAAACATACAAATCCTAAATAGTAAGCTTTGTGGCTTTGTTTAAATATGGACACTAAACGAATGGTCAGACAAGCAAATAGTTTGAACGCAAATTTTTCTTCAATACAATGATATTTCAATTGAAAGCAATAAGAATTCAAATCTACAAGCATTTCTGGAAATAGTTCAATGGTTTGTGTGCAAATTATTTGCATGTCTGACCATTGCGTAACAGTTGTTAATTCATTGCTGCTATTGCTTATGACAAATGAGATTTGGCGCATATAAATGAACAATCAATCATACAAACAAACGTCTTTAATAATAAATTAATAAATTGATAAATTGTTGCCAGTGTGTGTGTGTGTGTGTGTTTGGAAGTTGAAGTTTGAAGAGTTTAAAGCAGAAATAGAAAATCATAATAAGAGTTTGATACATGAATACATGACAGATGACACTTCTTCAAATAATACATTAGACTGACTGTTTTAAGATTTAAAAGTGCTGTCAAACTCAAAGTTTAAGAAGCAGACCACAATTCTTCATATTTCAATATAATAACAAAACAAAGAAAGGCTGATTTGCTGTTCTTTTCATCTCTAAAAATTTAATAATTAATAGAAAAGACTGATGATGTACTGTGTGAAAAATTAAAAAGTGCCAACACAACTGATTTTTGAAGAAACAGAATACAATTCTTCATCTCTCAAATTATTGATATAACACAAAAATACTGATTTACTGTTCATAAAACTTTCATCTTTAAAATTACAACCAGTCTGACTCAACTGTTTCTTTTTTTAGTTTGTATTTTCATATATAGCTTTTAAATTAATAATAAAATAATGATTTTGTTTTTAATGTTTAAAAATGAAGAATAAGATATGCTGATATACTGTTTTTAGGATTAAAAAGCGCTAGGAATTTAACATCTATTGCTGTTTTAAAAATGTGAGTTTAACAAAAACTTAGATTGACATACAGCTTCAAATTAATATTTAGTTTTATTTTGTGTTCTCTCACTTTGTGTTTTTTTTTTGCTTCAATTTTTGTATTACTTATGCTTCTGTTAGGCACTATTTATGTTTTCTTTTCACACACACACACACATGCATATGTTGTTGCATTAAAATTCGTAAAATATTTTTTTGTATTCTGTAATTACAATTATTATTGTTTCGTTTACGCATTGTTAAGTTAATGTGTGTGTCGTTTGTTGTTTGTGTTATCTGGCCAAAGAGTTTCGTTTCCTTTCGTTTCTTTTGAATTCTTCTGCTTATTGTATTTGTTTTGCTTCATTATTGTTTTTGCTCTCCTCACAACATGACTTTTACAAATTGGCTGTAATTTTTGCACAGTTTTCTTCATTTTTTGTTGTTGGTTTTTCCTCGATTTTTTTTTTCAGCATTATTTTAAGTTAATTTTTATAGCTAACAAAAAAAATTGGGTTTATGTTTTGTTTTTTTTTAGTCATCAGACAACAACGAAATACTTTACATTTTACACATAAATAGTTTCATTTGCGTTCTTAAATATGTTTTGTTTGTTTAAATAGTAATTTTGTTTTGTTTTAATACATTTTCTCGCTTCTCGCTTGATATAAGTATGCCGTACATATCTGATTTATATGTATTCCTATATATATATATATATTTATAGATTCATACGGAAACGATGCTAATTTACATTTACAGTACATTTATTTATGCAATTTAATTTTAGTTTTAGTTTACGAATTTGTTGGCATAGTTTGCCATTTATTGTTATTGTTATTTTCGGTGTAATTCGCTTTTATTGTCGCGATCCGCCTTCCACATTACAATTTCAAATCACTTGCGTAGTTTAAGATAAACTTTTAGTTAAACATTGAGAAGATAGAGAGCCTAAATAGACAATAATAGTTTTATGATAATTGCGAGAAAATTTCAACTCCGCTAATTTTTAGTGAATTTTTTTTGTACATGTGAAAATATTCATCATTTGTAGGCGTCTATTGAGACAATAATAATTTTATATAATTGTGAGAGAATTTCAAATCACTGCCGCAAACGTTCAGTGATTTTCGAAGTAACTGGAACTCAGGCTTGGCGGACTTGAAAGGTGAAAATTTATGGTATGCATAATAGCTGAGTTAAACAAACGGTAATCGTAAAAGAATTTAAAATAATTTTTGAAAATTTTAATGAACAAGCTCTCACGTATTTGAAATATGGAAATTTGTAAAATTTCCAGAGATCTATTACGACAATAAGAGTTTAACTGCCGGAAATTTATAGTGAACTTTGAAGGCGATATAGCTCGGCTCTAGCGCATTTGAAATGTGGAAATATTAGGTATTTTTTGACGAAATTGCAATTTATTTCCGGAAATGAAATTGAAATTTGTGGAAAATGGAAAATTATGAAAGAGTTTAGAAAGGTGATTTGTGAATGCAGAAAGCGTCGCGAAAACGCTCATTTTACTTTGAAATGTTTTTTTAAAAGAAAGTGTTTCCTTTTTCTTTTTTTTTTTAGTTATTTATAAGTATGTTGTAATCGTTAATGCATTTAAATCAATAATTAATCATTTAAATAACGGTGGATGGTTCGATTCATGCTTAAATGAATTGCTTTACATATACATATATGCTAAAATGTATATAACTATGCACATATCTGCATATAGAGAAATTAACTTTCTGCCGTTTTTAAACCTAAAATTTCTTTACGCAACCACAATGCGCAAAAATTTACTTTAAATTATTGTTGTTGAATTGTTTTGTTTGTTTATTTTTAATTTGTTAATGCAATTCACTTGCCCCTCGTGTAGGCTTTTTCAATTGTTATTATTATAATTTTGTTGCACAAACGATAAAGTTTATGGGCTTTGCTTCTTCGTTTTCTCTTCTATTCTCTTAATTTCCTTTCTTTTCTTTGTACCTGGCGCCAATTGGAAACATTGTTTTCTCGCACTACATTTAATTGTTGTTATATTTATTTAGTATATAGATTTATGCGTATAACTAATGTAATGTTACTATACAATATTTTGCATAATTTAATGGCTAAAAACAAAAAAAAATACGTTATTGTTATACATAAACATATTCAAATATGTTTCTCCTCTCTATTCTTTACACTTTCTTTCTTCTGCTTCATCGCTTCTTTCATTGTCAAAAAAAAATAATAGTAATAATAATCAGCGCTCGACACAACTGTTTACAAAAAAAATTCCATTCCTTCTTCAGTTTGTTTTGCGTTTTCTCCGTTGAAAACAAATTACACACAAAAAATATTTTTTAAGTAACTTTGAGATCATTTAAATGTATTTTTGATGTAAATGTATGCTTTAAAAAAAATTAATAATTAAACAAAAGAAACGAACGAACAAAACAAAACACGATTTCCACATTCACATTATATTTTCCGCAACAAACGCACAGGCAGGCACTCAAGAAGGAGCTCAATTTTATGGCATAATCCCAGCTCTAGACTGCCCGATTGGCTGTTGTCCTGCGCCGCATCAAATGAGCCTGCTCATCGTGATTTGCGAGCCTATTGCGGATTTTCACTCCATGTTATATTTTTGTTTTTTTCTTTTCTTTCTATTAGAAAGCATTACACAATAACTGAGAGCGACGAAAAATTAGCTTCAAGCTTTTACGCCCGATGTCTGCAATTCCGTGAAGGTATGCAAACATATCCCGAATTTCCGAATTAGATGCATAATTCAAATTCATATATATATTCATATATATATATACTATATATATTTATATATTCATAGTACCAATTTCTGATGGGGTGGAGAATTTTGGGAATTTCACTTCAAATATGTACGCCGGATGCGTAAAGTAATGTTTAGGCAAACGTGTTCCCCTTTCCTAATTTGATTGAATTCGATGCGAAATTGCAATTCACTAGTTTTTTGGGGCTTGGCATAGCTCAACGAGCTAACAGGAATCCCATACTCGTTCCTGAGTATATGATTCGAATGATTTCAAAATAAGTTTCAGATTAAAAATTCTGTAAGAGTCGTCTATTATCTAAAAAAAAATCTCAAACTATCGTGCTATGGCCAAATCTGCAGGCCGATTCCGCAGCATAAATAAAAAAAAAAATAAAAACAAATTTAAAGACTGATAAAAATTTTGAGAATTAAATAACGCACTCGATCGAAATCAATGCGGTTCCTTTTGGGTCTTATGTCCACTAGTATTCTATTTTCCAATTAAAAAAAAAAAAAAAAAAAAAAAACATTTTTTTAATGTTCACAATTCCGCAAAACAGTGATTTGAAACGCTTTTTTAGTGTATTCCTTTTCACTTTTATAATATCTGTGTTATTTTACCCAAAAGGGTAAGAGGGTATACTAGTTTTGATTTAAAAGAATTTCACACACCTTTCAATCAAATTACGAAACGGAATGGGAAGAGAAAAGGGTATTTTTTTCAATTTACTTTTTTGAATTGAATTAACTAGGAATATAGATTTTACCAACCTTGCGAATTTTGGAGTGATTTTGTGTGTCTGTATGTGTGTGTTTCGCTGCCTGCGCGTTTGCTTACGTGTATAACTAATAGTTTTATGTACGAGAGGGAAATGTGAGCCTCCGATTCAACTCAGTTCAACAACAAAACTTAATGCTAATTGTTTAATGCTGCTCGCTTTTTTAATCGCCAGCTGTTGCATCGGTGTTGGTGGGAACTGTGTGTACAGCCACCGTTGCTGCCATTGCCGCTGCCACATTTGCGTGCCGCAACATTTGCAACTCATCGCCGGCAGCATTAACCGCCTTCGCGGCACTCAGACTGCTTAGGTTGAGCGCCGCACTTTCCGCTGCCACATTTAGTTGCGTGTATTCTTGGGCGGATAATTTCAAAAACTGCTCATAGGTGGTCAATTGTTGCTGTTGTTGTTGCTGCTGCTGCTGCTGCTGCTGTTGCTGTTGTTGCTGTTCGACGGCATACATTTGTTGCTGTTTATTGCTGTTGTTGGTGGCGCTGTATGGTGGCGGCGGTGCGCGTTCTTGATACGTTGTTGCAAGCGTGTGGTGCTGTTGCTGCTGTTGCTGCAATGATTGATGCTGTTGCTGTTGCTGCTGCTGTTGTTGCAGCAGCTCTGTGCTATCGGCCAGTTGGCGTAACATTTGTGCGCTGTTAAGCCCAAGACGTGACTGTTGCTGCTGCAGTTGCTGCTGTTGCTGCTGATAACTGCTTTCAGCAACTGCTGTTGTGGCTGCTGCTGCTGCTGTTGCTGTTGCAGCACTGCTGGCATACAAAACTTCATCGACTTCCAGAGCTGACATTGCCAGACGTTGTTGCTGTTGCTGCTGCTGCTGCTGCTGCTGTTGCTGCTGTTGTTGTTGTTGCTGGGGTTGCGGGGAGTTCGGCGATTGCTTGATGATTGCGGCCGACGTTGCTGCTGCATGATCGATGCTCAAATAATGCTTCTCCTTGCTCGCATCGCTTGTAGTATCCTGCAAGGCGATGCTTTCTTCATCCGTTCGTTCATCTGCAAGCGCATTACTGTTGTTGTTGTTGTTGTTGCTGCCACTTTTGCTGACATTATTATTATTGTTGTTGTTGGTATTGCTGCCGGTACTGTTGGTATTATTATTGTTATTGTTATTATTACTGTTGGTGTTGTTGTTGCTGTTGCTGTATTCGCTGATTTGTGCATTGGTGGGGTTCGCGGACAGATTGGACGCTGCTCCTACAAGCAGCTCATGCTATTCCTTTATAAGGCGATAGATGTGGTGCGTGGTGCCGCTATTCTGAGCCGCCACCTCGAACACATACGCTATGCATAGCAGTGTCTCTTGCGTTTCACGCGCTCGCATTACCTTCAACGAGAAAGAGACAGAGAGTGAGAAAGACCATGAAATATGTGTGCTACGAAATCAGCTGTTTGCAAGAAGAAGATTTAAACTATGTGCTTGCGCAACAGCTGGCTGTTACGTAACTGTAATCTAAATGCTAAAAATGTTGAAATTTTGATATAAATCTGCGAATATTTATTGCTGGCAGCTTTTGGTTTACTCAATTTCAATTTACTCAATTTTCAAATTCTATGTAAATTTTTCGATAGAATTTTAGGTAAAATTTTAATCTGATTTGGCTGTTTATTGCACTCCGGATCATATATTGTTCAATTTCCTTGCTCAGTGCATTTCTAAAAGACTTAACTTCTTCAATGGGTCGTTTGCTTAACTTCATTCAATTATTAATTTATTTTTCTTGATCTTTGTGATTAAATATCTTGGAAACGTAAAGGCAAAAAAATTCTATTAGAAAAAGAATATACCAGCAATTGACTAAGAAGTTAAAAAGAATGAACCATTAAATGCAACTTTTTCCGAACTCAATACTTACACTAGGCCTACCTCAACATATCTATCCGTTTCCTCTTTCGGAATTAAAGCTTACTTTCTTGACTTTTGATTTTATTATCGATGCTTCGGATAGTCTGTTTAGATTGTTTTTTGGGAGCAATTAGCTATTGAGTAATGAAAATCATGAATTCTACAAGAATTAATATTTGAATCATCGAAATAAATATGTGCCTGTCTCAGAAAGAAAGTCTATTGTTGTACATCTTTATCCCACAGTTATTGGTGCGGTTTGGAAGACCCAATTGTCAACACATATTATATATGTAAAAATATACTAATAGCTCAACTGTTCATCAATTGAATCGAATCTTCAACTCCTGATAGACAACGTATTCGAAATACATTTGAGCCTGTCAAGAAAGCGATTTTGTACAATTCCATTTCTTCGGAATTGGTCATTCATCCCTCAGTTAAAGAGACAGATTGAAGATCAAACTGTACATACTCTACTGGAATGAATCTTTAACTCTCGATACAAGCGATTGGTTTCGAAGTTTGTGATGACCACGATCTCTTCATAGATAGCTTAACTCTTCTTCTTGTGTGTTCTCCGTCTTCCATCAACTTACTTGCAGTATTGTAAAGTTCTCAAGCACACTGTTCATCATGTAGCGTTCAGGTAAATTCTTCAGCTTTTGTATGAAATTGATCATATACTCGCACATGGGGGAGCGCTGTATGCGGTACACGTATCGGTTATTCTCGAGGCGCGAATACTCGCTCTCCACCTTCTCCACGACCTGTTTGCCAAAGGAGCAAACAATTGTTGAGCATACGAGTTCCACATTCTCATTGCTTTCATATCTAAAAGGTGGAGTGTTTTATTTTATTGATATTTTGATTATATAGCAGCCATTGCACTTACTGGCTCGTAACACCATAGAAATCACCCGTTTCGCTACCGGTCGTAATGTCCGTATTCAAATCCGCCCAGCATTTCACCAAATAGAACGCATTCTGCGGTCCCTTTTCATAGAGATCTTTAAGACCGCCGGATTTCTCTGGGAATTTATCGAATATTTGTCGTATGTCAACAGTCTGTAATGCAGAAATATATTTATCGTTAGAGGCTAGATGGCACGCAGTTATAGAGGCAAGAGCTCACCTCAAGTAATGGATCGGAGAAGGAAGGTTTCCCGCCAAGTTGTACAAATAGATGCCGGTGATACTGAAAGGGAAAAACATGTATTTAGTTGGGGGGTATTATTAAAAACATATTTAATCTGAATATACGTACGATGTCATCTCTTTGGATTTCCATGAAGGCCGTAAACTCGAGCAAACGGAATTTGTGTGTGGCAATCGCGCGTCCCTCCCATGGCAATTGCGTGGGCGGAATACCAGCTTCGATATCGCCGGAGACAGCCGTTGATGGCTTGCCGGCGGGATAGGGCGGCTGAGCGAACGGCTTGATGCTGTAATCATAAAAACTATTGGTCAATGCAAAAGCGTTGTGGGTGGATTAAGGGCCCGAGGGGTTGACTTACTCTTGGGATGTGCTTGGCTGTAATCCGGGTTGCCAAAATTGCTAAACATCGATGGGGACAGCAAGAGCAAGAGCGGGAAAGAAAGAGAGAGAGATGAGATATGATCAGTAAGTAAGGGTTGTTGTTGGTTAAGCATCTTGGGGAGTTTTGGGGTTGCCAGTTATTGAATAATGAGTCCAAATATTATGGTTACACAACAAATGATGGAACAAATGATTGAGCAAATGATTGCGATTGCGTTAATCGACGAACATGAAGAGCTTTAACTTACTTTACTTGAGTATTACATTTAATATCATTATATACTAAGTACATATGCTGAGCTGACTTGTAATTTCTTTTTTTTTTTATATATATACTTTATTATTTTTTCTATTATTATTATATTGATTTGGGTTTACATTTTTTTTTTTATTTAAATTTAGATTAAGACTTTGGTTGCGCCGAATTGCATGTAAAAAAGCAAGGAGGAGTCGATTTCAATGATCAATGATCAAGCGAGCGAGAGAGAGGTGGGCTGGGAGCGGGCGGGGGAGCGACGCTGGCGGTAACGCGAAACACACATACATATAACACAAATGGTAAGGTGAGCGCCCAAATTAGATATACATACATACATACATACATACATACATACATGTATACTATATTGAATGAGAATGTATATAAGTATCTATAAAGTATTGGTGTACACATATTATAGATTAGGTGGTGAATAGCGCAAAGGCGAAGAGCGTGGTATTAACAGAGAGGTGAAGAGCGAGCGAGCGAGCGAGCTGGCTAGCTCCAGAGAGAGCAAAGAGGACTGGCGACGGCAGTGGCGGCGGCGATACAACAACAGTTACCAATGGCAGCTTCAATGCTAAGCACAATTACTGTATAATAATGAAAACGGGCGGGCAAGTGAGAGAGGGAGCTAACAGTGTACAAAGTAGTGATCATGATCATGTTACTGAGAGTTAGAGTTTACTAAAGACAGATCGAGAGGGATAAGGAAAGCAGAGATGGTGGTTTGTGACTGCTTGCTGGGGATCATGAGAGAACCTTGCGCTGGCCAACCATATTGTGAGAATGGCTATGATGTTAATGCGCTGATTAAATTGAGCAAACTGAAGAGGTGCACAATTGAGAATGCGAATAACAGAGTGAGAGAGAGAGAGAGAGAGAGAGTGATCTGATGTCTGCTGAGAATCTTGTGGTCTAGCTGGGGATAGAGAGTCATGTGCAAAATTGAGAATAAACATGAGAGAGATAGAGAGAGAGAAAAGGAGTAATGGTGGTTCTATTGATATGCTGTTGTTGTTGTGCACTAACTGGGGACCTACCTTCAACTAAATAACATGAGCAAAGGGAAGAGGCGCACAATTGAGAATGACAGAGAGAGAGAGAGAGAGAGAGAGAGAGTAAGCAGTGTAACGAACAAACAAACAAATGAGGATGAGACAAGACTGAGCTTCAAATATCGGTGCAGGATTAATTAAATGTGGTGTGGTGTGATGGTGGTGGTCAATGGTTCAATGCCTCAGCTTTTTGAGTATAGGAGGTGTATGTATATGTGTGTGTGAGTGTTGTTGTTGTTGGTGTGGTTTAGATGGATGTCTTATCTTTGGTAACTAAAACGTTAGCTTACGCCCGGATACATCGGCGGATGATGCAACGGCGCTGGCGGCGGCGGCGGTGGCAGAACACCTGCTGTAGGTGTGCCAGCGATTGCACCACTTGGAACTTGACGCTGTTGTTGCTGCTGCTGCTGCTGTTGTTGTTGCTGTTGCTGCTGCTGTTGTTGCTGCTGTAGGTGGTAAACGGCTGCAACAGCCGCCACATGGTGGTGGTGCTGTGGGTGGTGGGAGTGGTGCGAATGCAAATGACTATGCGAATGGTGGGGCATATTGTGATGATGGGAATGATGGGCGTGGCTGTGTGCATGGGCGTGGGCATGGGTGTGGTTATGGGCATGATGGTGTTGCTGTTGTTGTGGTTGTCGGGCTGTTGCCGGCGACAACGCCGACAATGGCGGCGCTGGCGGCGGTGCTGCTATTGAAGTGGACGACGAACACGACGACGAGGACGTTGCTGCCATATTTGGCTGTGCGGCAGCTGCTGCTGCTGCGGCGGCTGCTGCTGCGGCTGCGGCAACACCCACCTGGTGGTGGTGATGATGATGGTGGTGGACAGGATGTGGGAGATGGTGCTTCGTATGGTGCACACCCGCCGATATTGCCGAGGCGGCTAGCGCAAAATTATTGGCGGACACAATTTGTGAACTTGTCATATTGCTCATGGCCTGCAGGGTCTGCTCTTTCTCATTAAGTAAATGCAAGGATACACCATTGGGCTCCTGGAAGAGAGTTTCATTTTGGTCGAGTGTGTCTATGTGTGTGTGTGTGTGTACATGGATATGTGTGTGTGTATATAGTATGTCTGGGCAGTGTTTTGACAGACTGGCTTATAGGGCAGGCTATTTGTCATCGGCGAGGACTTCATCAAGGTGTTTATTATCAGTTTTTAACAATTTAGTATTTTGTTATAACCTGTACCCGATGGGTGAAAGCAGACCCCATGTTATGCAAAACGACATTTTGTCCATCTGTTCGACTGTATGAACCACGATAACTTTTGAACCGTAGCAGCTACAGGTAGCAAACCTCGCATGCAGCCCTGCCTAATTAATATGCAGACCAAGTCATGTTTAGTCACATAATAGCATTCAAATGCTATATATGTATATACATACTATAGCAAACGATCGGTAAATAATCACACTATTATTATGAGAAACTTCTTTGTGTGTTAATATATGACCTAAAGTCTTATTACTCGAATTTCTTGAGGGTATATTCCAGAAAACAGCAAAATACTTGTATTATAAAGGGAAAGTTTGACTTTGAAATGGTTTTGAGGAAACTATTACAACTGTTAAAGCATTAATTGTATAACCTCGTTTTTTAGAAGCTATAGGTATACAATAACTCAAGATACTCTATTACGAAACGAAACTTTGGGGTATTGTATTGCCAAAACTGTCGGTACTTTATTAACTTATTTTTGTTGGAAGTGCATAACCTAGCTTTGTACTAGGTAGGATATTCTTTTTTAGGTACTTCATTGCATTTATTTGTAGTTCATATAATAACTACATATGCGTGAAGGTTCATATATATCGGGAAGTAGTTTTTAAACTAAACCATCGTGGCAAAAATCAATATTAGTTGGTTTGTTTTTAATGTAAATGTTTATAGAGAGAACTAAAGGGGGTGGGGCCGTAGGTCGGGTACAGGTACAGGTACAGGGTTTCTGCAGTTTTCATTTCATTTGATGATATAACTATTTGTGTAATCGATCCCAAATAGTAGACGACCAAGAATATTTCCCTTTGACAAATCGTCCTTGCTTGCTTTTTTACGCTCGCTTGCAATAATTGATTTTAGTTTTGATTTTGAATTTTGAATTTTTCCATCACGTTGAACTGAATTTTTATGATTTCAACAACAACAAAAATGTATGAAAGCGCAACAACAACGAAGGAAATATTCATAATTGTGTGTGTGCGTTTTTTTTTTTTCATTTGTTTTTCGCTTCTGTGCTCAACAAACAAAAAAGCAGCACCAGCAGAAGAAGAAGAGAATTGTTTATATAAATACCGTTTCAGAACAGCAATCTAGATATGTAAACAATGCGTGTGTTACGAATACACTGATTGAATGAAAATTTGTGCTGCATTGCTGTTTTTCGTTTTTGTTTTTGGTTTTTTCTACAATTTTCATTTTTACACTTGCTGTTCGTTCAATTATTTTTATTATTGTGTGTTTTTTTCTTCATTTTTATTGGTTTTGCTGTTGTTGTTGTGGTTGCTGTTGTTGTTGTTTTGTTACACTTACGACTTTGATTTTGGCTTGGATTTCACGCAATTTCCGTCTGGCGAGCACTTGGATATGCGAACTGACTTGTTTACGGGTTCTCGTCTTCCCTGTGCGCAGTTTGATGTAACGAGCGATTAGCTCGTTGCGGCCTAAAAAGAAGAGCGAAAACAGAGAATAGATATAGTGGGCGGCAATTATTGTAACACTGGCGATATCGCTTTTCGGAACTATGTGTCTTATTACCAAAAGTTAAATAAATGACAAACTACTACTGTGTACAAATATGACCCGAACTTTTTGTATTAACATTCAAAACCATAATTCTTTTCATTATCATCTTTTTTAGCGCCTACTTTTATCGTCTTTAAAGAAATATAGTACAGTGCGAAAATTCAATTTCTGAAATGCCTTCAATACCTTCTTAGATTCAGCTTAAGTCTCCCCAATCGTGTCCACACAAATATGACCCGTACTTTTTATTTTAACATTCAAAAGCATAATTGGTTTCATTAACGTCTTTTTTATCGCCTTTAAAGTAATCCGGTTGTGAACCAAAGGATATTTGGCTTTTACGAGGCACAAGAGTTCTCTTAAAAAGAGGGTTGACTGATCCATTAGAAATGCCAACAGCATCAGCGTCATAATTACTGAAAACATATTATAACAAGAGATCCAACCTACACCATATCATATTCATATCTTTCATCGTCAAACACCGCTGATGCCCATCAATCAGAAATAGAAATATTTTATACGGATCGTAGAGGTCTTGGACTTTCCAGCGCCAAACTTCTTGTACGAATATCATGTAACTAAAAGTCTTAAGTCTGTGTTGCTCTTTCGAAGCCTAAAACTACTAATGTCAAGCTTATCGTTCAATAATATCGCTATTCTATATTTGACAACAAACTAGCTGTCAAATAAGAAGCCTTTCCAGCTACACACACTCGTTGGAACATCTTTCAGATAAATATCGTGGAATGTATTGGTTTTTTGAACGTAGAGCGGGATTTCATTTAGGTTATCAAAAGGACGAGCTTGTTGATATATTTGTAATAAGATTTAACATGTTTTGTATATTAATTATAAATTATTGGATTGAACAAAATGGTGTTAGACGACATCAAAACCAAGTCGAAATCAGACTATTTTTATTTATTCAACAATTTGTATTTTCCAAATCTTAAGTGTTAGTCTAGTCGCCAAATAAATGAATAGACAAACAAATCAGAGGAAAGAAAAAACCCACACATTAATTTGGTTTATTGAAATTGGGAAACAGGTTCCCCCAAAACGTGTTGGCCATTATTTCCAGCGAGCGTTCATTCTGCAACCACATTGCGTTATCAACGAAGATAATGCCACATACATACTACAAGTATATTGCCATTGCCAGTGGCACTTTGGCTGGTTCTGGAACTGGAAATGCGTTCGTCTTTGGTGTTATCTGGCTTCTGCTATGAGATCATCATTAAAAGCTATGAGTCTGTGGTTTCCTCAAAACGTGCGTCATCCAAAAAGAGTCATCGTATGATTGGCACGACTGCCCCTCTGTATCAGCTCAGTGCAGGCCACAGCTCAGTACCAGCAACCAAAACAAGATCTTCAAAACTTGTTCAGATTTTTAGATTAGACGACTCACATAGAAGATATGCCTGAGCTCTTTCTCTCTGCATATCTAACAATGGCGATTCAACTTCTAGGACAGGCTCTCTCTATTCGAAGATCTATCAAGAACGGACTTGGATTGTTGAGACTCTGTTCAAAACAAGGCGAACCCCAGTACTTCCTAGGCGCACCCCATTACTCTGAACAGCAAAGAACCAAAGTCTGTCTTAGAACAGCCGAGCTTAACACTTTTTTTTCAAAGTAAAGATCTTGAACATTGAGACTTTGGTAGGTTATGATTTGACCTGCTTCTTAGAAATAATCATACAAATATTTGCTTGCAGTTATTTTAAACCTCAGACACTGAGATTCTTTCTAACCTTCCATCCTGGATTAATACTATTTGGTATGATAAATAAAAATAAAATATTTTCAAAGTTTTCTAAGGCTTTGACTCATCGACACATTTAGAGAACATTTACGCCTTCTTCTCATAAAAAAGTTTATTATCGATTATTTTAGCGTACACTTCATTAATAAACTTCTTTTTCCTCTAATCTAGAAGCAATACATTTTTCGGAAACATTTTAACCTTTTAACAGTCCCATATTTAAAAGCGCTTCCATTTTAGTTGGTTATTTCTTTAAGACTGCGATTAAAGCTAACTCAACAATTCAGATCATCTTTGCTTTCAAACTGTTTCTCATGTAAAAGCTATAAATTATCGATAGATCGATAAACTACTTAAAACTTTGGTTAGAACTGGAATGCTTAAGAGGATTTTGCTCTAGTCCTTACACCTGTTCCTGCCATGTTTATCAACCATTATCCTGTTATTAATGCTAAGCAGTTACATATCTCTGCTCAGATAACAAAGCTCGACAGATTCTCTATTTTAGTTTTCCTATTAAAGGATGATTTTAAAAAATGAAGAAACTATCAATATACCAACTATTCATAGCGTACTAGTAAAAATTTGATGAGCAAAAAATGTGCCTGTCCAACAGTTTCTGTAGTTTTCGAAACTGTTCTTTTAATAGCTACTGCTTGTTTCTTACACTTTTTGAGATAATTGCATTCATAGAGTGAGACGAATAAACAGACAGATAAACAAAGAAACACACAAGTATTACGTTTTTTCTAAGTATTATATCTTTATGGAAAGCAATTGAAAAAGGGGGGCAGGCAGCAACTATAGCTGTTTAATCTTATCTAGAAGACTGAAAGCTTTATTTAATGAGTAGATGTGTCACAATTTTGTAATTGAATTTTTTTTACATAAATAATTTGAGGATTATGGTTAAGGGTGAACGACATCTGGAGAATGGTTGTGTGAAAATTTGTTCACAAATTTAACGACAATTTCACGTGTACGACTAAGCCAAAATGTTGTCTGCCTTCCTGGGCATCCTTTTAAACAACGTTTGTTGTCTTTTACGTCGCTCTTCTCGAAGCAGTATCAGAAGAAGCCAAAGCAGTCAGGCTGTATGGGGCCGGGACGGGTCGGGCCAGGCCAGGCCAGGCCAGGACAGACCAGTCGGCCGGGTTGGGTTGGGCCAAGCAAGCAGCCTCAGCTTATATTGTACGTTTGTGCGTTCACTAATTACACATTCTTGGCATAGTTTCAGTTCTAACCGAATAAAATTATTTTCAGTGACTCAAACCCCGATGCAGACACGCAGCCCCACACAGCCAGCCCGCCAGCCAGCCAGCCAGCCAGCCAGCCAGCCAGCCAGCCATGCACGCATATTGTTGGCTGCCTTTCTCACTGGGGTGGTTGTTCTGGCCCGAAGAGTTACTGCCGAGCCAGATAGACAGAGAACAGCGTAGAAGAGCAGAAGAGCAAGTTAGGCAGTCCTGGTCCCAATCCCAATTCCAATTCCAGTCTCGGTCTTAGTCTCAGTGCCACCCAACATTTTGTTGGCGCTTTTGGCAAAATCCAGGGGCGTATGACGCGTCAAGTTCTTCAGTAGAAGAGCAAGTGATTTAAATGTTGACTTTCGCTCAGCCCTGGTTTAAGCACATAACACCCCCACCCCCACCCCCACCCAACACTCACACACACACACACACACACACAAAAGCACTCATATTGAAATACTCAGGACATTATGAATAGTAAAGCAAGCAAGCGCTCCATTTCAATTTCTTCACGCTTTAATCTTTTCAAATCGATGGACCTTGCTGACGCACAAAGGCGAATGGCGAATGGTAAACGGCAAAAGGCGAAAAAGTGGGAGCAAATCAAATGGAATTTATAGTTTAACTTTAACCATCCAAGCGTGTATCTATATGCACTATACAGACATATTTATCTAGATATAAGCGAAAGTTTATCGCTTTCATGTTCAAAGAAGGGCCGACACTTATGAGTACTTATCCTTAGACGTTAGTTCGCATCTTAAATAAGACACTATTATATTAATTGTCACACATTATGAGGGATATAGATATATATGTATATATGTGTGTCTGTGTACTTGATTGAAGGTGTTGCGTGCGTCCAATTTGTGATCAATCAGTTGTTATGCTCGGCTGGCTGATGCCTCTAATTAAGTGGACAGTTCAGTTGGCAATTGTGAATTGTGAAGTGACAACCCAATGGGGGTCAAATGGACTGACACTTCACGAGATTCCCACAGAGCTACTTAGCACTCACAAGACAGCGAGTGCAATCAATGGATGAGAACAGCGTGAGTGCGACATAAACACATAATAGTTGTTTGGAGCAACAATTTTCAATCACACTAATCACTTGATTGTGGATTCCAATAATACACAAATAAGTGAATGTATTCACCACTAGTTTGTAATCCAATTCGCTTTAAGGGCTCTGAGTGAATACGCTTGCGATTGTGGATTCCAATAATACAGAAATAAGTGAATGCATTCAATATTCATTTGTAATCCAATTCGCTTTAAGGGGTCTAAGTAAATTTATTTAGGATTGTGGATTCCAATAATACAGAAATAGGTGAATGCATTCACCACTCATTTGTAACCCAATTCGCTTTAAGGCCTCTAAGTTAATTCATTTGGTGCAAATAAATGAGAAATATTGAATCAATGACCAAGCAAATTCAAGAACCGAATATGTAAATACAAAAACATTCAATGCACTTAAGATTTTGAATGTGTTAACACATTTTGATTCAAAATATATGAACAATCACGGTATGACTTCTATTGGCTGTATGTTATGGTCATTAAGTGAAGCATTTCAAACTTATATGAGTTGTATTCAGACAACTTTGACTCAATGGCATTTTTTTAACTTTATTTATTTTTGCATACATTTCTCATTCATTTGAAAACTCATTTAGTTTGATATGCTAGAGTAATTGACTTTAAAAATTTCAGTAGTTTAAATTCATTTTAGGCCCACTTGAGTATAATCTCACTAACCTAGCGGAACCGTATGAACCGTTGTTTAGTTTTCTACTTTAAAACAGTAAGTGCATGTGCATTTGATATTTATTTATAATAGGTATTATATGAGCTCAATTGATTTGCAATCGCTTGTTGAATAAATGAACATTAT